CGGCTAAGAAGCAGGGGTTTCCATTCCCATTTCTAGGAGTCTCCTGGGCTTTTCATTTGGTCAGGTCCTGCTACGTTTTCCTTGAACGTCCTCCATTTTTTTGCGGGGCCTTTTTTTTTTGTTCCTGTTCCTATTGTTCCCGTTGCCAGGGTGACCAGAGGTCCTCCTAAAAGCAAAGGAGGACAAGGCACCGCAAAATGGAGGACGTCCAAGAAAAATGGAGGAGGACAGGGCCCAGTAAGAAGCTCAAGGCACTCCTAGAAATATAAATTCATGCTTCTTCGTTATCCAATGGAGGACATTTTGGAATTCCTCCTGGACAGAAAGATTAAATGGAGGACATGTCCCGGGAAAGGAGGACTCCTGGTCACCCTGTTGTTGTTGTTGTTGTTGTGTTCCTTCAAGTTGTTTCTGACTTATGGCGACCCTAAGTCCATCATCGGGGTTTCTTGGCAAGAAGAGAGTGTTTGCCTTTGCATTCCTTGGAGGCTGAGAGAGTGTGACTTGCCCCAAGTCAGCAGGGGGCCAGATGTCCCTGTCCCTACCACCAAGGAGGACAAGGCACTGCAAAATGTAGGACGTGCAAGGAAAACGTAGTAGGACGTGACCAAATAAAAGCTAAAAAGCTTGAAGGCGCACAACAACTAAAACAAGAAGTCTTCAAAACTCCATCTCCTTCTACGTAGGAAGCTGAAAGCTCTACTTGTTTTCGAGTCTATGTTTCCTGACGCTCGACGCAAGAACGGAGAGCATCCTGGGAAGTGTAGTCTTGGCGCCGGAAGCGGCCTCTGAGAGGGGGAGGAGTTTGTTGTGGCTGGAGCGCCTGGTAGATGCGCGCCATTAGGAAGGAGCCACTGTCTCCTAGCAACTGAAGCAGAGGCTTCTGCAATGGGACGCCTAAAATTGCGGTGGCTTTTTTTGCAGAAAATGGGGGGAAATGGGCCAGTTTAGTCTGAAAACAGCAGAGTTGGTCACACACTGTCACACACACACACTTTTCTTCAGATTTTGGAATATTTGCATCTACAAATGAGACATCTTGGAAAAGGGACCCAAGTCTAAACGTTAAATTAATTTATGTTTACTAGACACCTTATACATTTATTTATTTACGGTCATAGACCAAAATGTAGACCAGGATATAAAGTATAATTATACATACACACACACTTTATATTCTAGTGTGTGTGTGTTTTATATTTTACATATATATATATATATATATATATATATATATATATATATATATACACACACACACATATAATTATACTTTGTATTCTGGTGTGTGTATTTTATATTATACGCACACACATATGTGTAATTATACTGTATATTCTGGTATGTGTATTTTATTTTATACACACAGACACACACACACACACACACATATATATATATATATATAAATCTGGTGTGTGTACATACACACACATACAGACATATAATTATGCTTTGTATTCTGATGTGTGTATTTTATATTATACACACACACATATATATAATTATACTGTATATTCTGGTGTGTTTTATATTCACACACACACATACAGACATATAATTATGCTTTGTATTCTGGTGTGTGTACTTTATATTTTACACACACACACACACACACATGTAATTATACTTTATATTCTGGTATGTATTTTTTATATTACTCAGAGATATATATATATATATATAATACTTTATATTCTGGTGTGTGTATTACACACACATACACATACAGTTGGCCCTCTATATTTGAGTGTTGGATTAGGACTCTGGAGACCAGGATTTAAATTCCAGCTTGACCATAGAGACCCCCTGGGTGATCTTGGGCAAGTCACACTCTCTTAGCCTCAGAGAATGGCAAGGGCAAACATTCTCTCAACCTCAGAGAATGGCAAGGGCCTTAGAATCGCCATGAGTTGGAAACAACTTGAAGGCACACACAACAACAACAATAGCAGAGGCACAGAACCTAGCAATCATCTCTGTACTCTAATTTGTGTATCTGAATAATCAAGCAGAGGTGATAAGTAAAAATTTTCCAGTCATCAAGGAAAATCTCATAGAATTGGGATAATTAAATTAAAGCAGATGCCTTGATAAAATAGTATAATATGACATGGGCAGAGGTAGGCAACCTTTCCCCTTTAAGGGCCGAGGGACTTCAGCTCCCAGAATCCCAGGAGCTATTGGCCAACATGGGACTATTGGCCAACATGGCTGAGGCTTCTGGGAGCTGAAGTCCCTCGGCACTTAAAGGGGAAAGGTTGCCTACCCCTGGGCTAGAGTCTCTGTGTCTACATTTGTACAAGCACAGGTATGGGTTTTTGTGGGTATTTCAGGCTATGAGACTGTGTTCTAGAAGATTTTATTCCCGGTGTTTCGCCAGCATCTGTGGCTGACATCTTCAGAGAATGCTGGCATGGAAGTGAGTGGGATACACACACACACACACACACACACAGAGTGTGACCCTTGGTTGAGAGAAGGTGATTTACATGTTAATCCATGTGCTGTTCTGTTGTTGAATGCAAGGACTCAGGGTGGGAGGATATGCAAGGAGGCACTGTGACTATTTAATTAGTGATCCATTGTCTACTGGGAAAAGCTCTGACCCTGGGTGGTTTTCATTTGCATTTTGCTGGGTCTTGATTTTGATGTTTTTCAGGACTGGCAGCCCCGATCCAGCACTTTGCCACTCCAAAAAGAGCTGGCAAATGCCTCTCCTTTTTGGAGCAGCAAAAAGCCACTCTTGCCATGGCGGTGGTAGCTTTTCTGCACTCCTTTGGCACAGTGTTTGTACGCTGCACCAAGGGAGCGCCCTGACACCACCCGCTGTGCAGTGGGGCGCATGGCATGAAATGCCCCACTCCACCCCAGGCCAGCCCTTTTGGCTGGTCTGTATAGGGCATTTGTTTACTTTAAGAGTTTCTTCTTTTCTGTTAAAATTGTCTAGGTGTTTGTGGATTTCAATG